AAAAAATCAAAAACCAAGCTCAGAGTTTTAAATGAAAATAAAGATTGCTTAAAAAAGAAAGAAAATAACAAACTGTTACATAAATAACTTTTTTATTGCTAATTTTTATTAATTCACTAATTTTTTCTGTGATGCCAATAATATGATATCATGAACATCTCAATTACACAGCTTTGCTTACTTTTAGTAAAAGTTAAATTTAAATTTCATAAAAGCCATACTGCAATAGCATGCACTAATTACCTAAATTTAATGAAAAACGAAAAGAAAATTTATTACATAATTTTTCTTTTGGTGCACCAAAAAGTAAAATACTTTATTTACAATATCTGTGATTAGTAATAAGAATAGTCTTCAGAGTGAAATCAAAATATAAATCAACAAGATAAGGAGAACATTCTGTTAAAGTTCTGTTTTTACCTCTATATTTATTACTTCTATTATCTATATTTTTCTGTCCAAGGACAAATTTCCGAAGATTTTCATGCATTAGAAATTTAATAATAATAATAAAGAATAAAGTATATTATTTCAGTAATGTTACAGCAGCTTTTATAGCTGAAACATCATATTTTTTCAATGGCAGAAAATTTTAATGAATTTAATACATATTTCCATAAATTATCTCATGTTCCTGTTAATATTTATGAAATAAATTAACTAACTAAAATTAACAAATGAAAAAAAACATTCACAATGACATTAATTTTCTTATGGTAAACTAATTATCAAACATGGAATACAGTCAAATATTACAAACAAATCTGGTATATATGCCAATTTACATACATAAACATTCCATTTTGTTTCTACGTGGATTAAAATATATGAAATACATATAAATAAAAAACAATCTACTCACTGTGTCTAAAGCACATTCGGTACCTGATAAATCTAGATGTGTCAATGCATTAGGCTGAGCCAAAAAATTATATAAATTCTAAAAGATTAAAGAAACAATACATTACTTTTCTATGAATATAATACACAATATATAGACGTAAGACAGAAACATTTTGGAAAACAGAAATGCACAGTTTATTACATTCACTTTACAAAATACTTATAAAATTATTAAAGTTCAAGATATTTACAAAAACACTTTAAAGATGGCACAATACAAAAATACTGCATTAATTTAAAAAAGTGACAGTTACAGATACATTCAAACAAACCAACAGGAAAAATAATAAAACTATTTACATTGACATCTTCTTTGAAGACATTATCACTAAGACTGAGGAATGTGAGTGTAGATGGCATTGCCCGATTTAAGGACAGAGCATGAGCTAAAGTATTGATGCCTTTGGCAGTGAGCCCAGTTCGACTTAAATTTAAGTGAATAAGCCCTTTCTGAAGACGGCCTACAGTTCCACCAAGCTGACCAGCACCTAAAAATTATTACATGCTCACATAAGTAGAATGCAGTATGAAATTAAACCTTGCATCAATTAAATTACATTCTATCATAAACAATCTATATATGTCTACTAGGTACTGTTCTGTTATCATGACCGGATTCAGAAACATACTATTACAAAATGCCCAGCTTTGGTCAGATAGCCTTCCCACGAGGCAGGTTTAGGTTTGCCAGAAAATGGCAAACGAAAGTAAGGTTGCCATATTTAGCGAGAACTCATCCATTTGGCAACAAAATTGGCAATATGCCATAGACGGATGGAGAACCTTCTAAAACAAATTCTTACCACTTTGGACCAGAATGTTCTCGAAGGCAGCCCAAAAGCCCTGCCTACACACTGAATAGTGGTCAGGTTATAGTCAAGCGAGTCGGTCAGCGAGTGAGAGTCTAGTCTAGTCAGTCAGTGCCTCGTCCAGCGAGTGCATCACGAACTGTAGCATAGAGAATCTAGAGAGTACGTTAAGTTCCGAGAACAACCGAACAGAGTCAGCAGCTGTACTCTGGAGCTTTGCTGTGAAGCTGTCTTCACCGTTATAGCCTGAAGGCTGGAGTCTTGAGAGTCCGTGGAGTTCCGAGAATGAGTGTACTGAGTCAGAAGCTGTTCTCTGAGGTTTTGCCGTGAAGCTGTCTTCACCGTTATAGCCAACAGCCTGAAAGCGTGTTTGTAGTAGTTTTTCGATGACTGTAAACATGATTTTGGAGCTGTCCTGATTAATACTAGCTAAATAAATTTTGTCTGATTCTTCATCACTCCAAGTCTGTGATCGCGTGAAAAAAACGCAACAACTGGTGTCACGAGAGGGGTTTGCGAGTGAACAAAAGTGACCTGCCTGCAGGAAAGCCATGGCAGAGGAAATGAAGGCTTTGATGGACTTTTTAGCCAAGATAAAAGGCAGACTCGAAGAGACGAAAACTGGAAATGAAGAGTTAAATACCGGATATGAAGAACTGAATGCAGAATATGAGGAGATGTAGGTTGGACAAAAAGAGTTACTGATCAAAATTAAATCGTGTCAAAAAGAAATAAAAGCAGGACAAGAAAAGCTGTGAGAGCAACTCAAACAGATGAAAGTGGAGCCATAAAAGAAGATGTGGAAATGACAGATGTTGCATCTGAAGAACCAAAGGATGAAGAAATGAAGGAAGTGGCTGGTGAAGTGTTTGAGAAAGATAAAGACATGATGGATGAAACATCTAACAGATTTAAAGAAAAAGAACGAAAGCATGAAGAAATAAAAGATGGGAAGGAAGCTTTTAATTCTCAAGCGCATGAAGTAGAAGTGGAAGAAAGTGAAAATGCGACTGTTAAGTTCGTAGAAACTGATAGTTATAAAGTTGCACTTAGCAAGTACTGAACCATCTGAAAATTCAGTTGATGCAGAGATAGGAGAAGCACAAAAAAAAAAAAAAAAAAAAAAAAAAAAAAAAAAAAAAAGGGAGTGCAGTTCTGTAACTCCCATTCTACTGGGCCGACTGATGAAACTCAACCCGCATTTTTCATGTCTCGAAAGTGTGACTTAGGATATGTATTAGATTTATATATAGCATTGTTCTAATATAGGTATTCTGACACAAAATCGGACTTTTTCTGAAATGACATGCCAATTTTTTTCCATATTTTAATTCTACGACTCAAATTATGTCAAAGTGCCAAAATTTGTAAAAATCTCACAAGTAAATTTTAAAAAATTAGCTCTCAGAATTTTAACTCCCTCGATGTTAATTGAATTTGACATATATTCATTAATCTCTCTCTTTTTTTAAAAAAAAATTAAACTTACTTGATTCCCTTCTTCCAGAATTCAAAATTTAGGTTCATTCCAAATAAAATTCACCAATTTTTTATGCTTTATCTTTAAAATTTGTATTTTAAAATAATTTTTATGAATTTTTTTGAAAAAAAGTTTGAATTATAACCTATAAAATTTTTACCATCTTCTTTGCAGGTATTTTTAAGTATACCTGCAAAAAATTAAGAGCATTTTTTTAATCAAAATTTCCTAGGATATACGTGAATTTACATATTGGCATGTTTTTAAATTTGGCATATTTGTTATAAGTGATAATAATGCCAAATGTGGTTAATGTACTCTGTTAAAATAATTTGAAATAATGAACGATGACTTTTTTCCTGCTTGTGGACAATGAAGAAAAAGGAAAGGAAAATAGTTTGCTATAAATTAAGAAGTTCACCAAGTGAATTATTCTTGGTGCAAATTGAAAAATTTGTAAATTCTCACCAAAAATTACAAAGTTTAATATCGAGGCATAATTTGAGTCGTATAATCGAAATATGGAAATAAATTGGCATGTCATTTCATAAAAAGTCCAATTTTGTGTCAAAGTACCTAACTTAGAACAAAGCTATATATAAATCTAATAGTTTCATAAGAATAAATTGAATTTAATTAAATAAATTTAATTTAAATACAAATGTAATTAAATATTCTTTGCGCCATTGCTGCAAGGAATGAAATTTTAACAAACACGTATAAAAGTAAAAAAGCAAATTTAAAGCCAAAATAAAGAAAAAGGCCAAAATAATTTTTTTAAAAATTTTTTTAAAATGTGCAAACATATAAAAGATTTAATTCTCGAACTAATCTACAATATCATTTAAATTCAAAAGCATAAGCAAATCAAGTACAAAACCAATCCATGAAAATAAATTCACTAATTTAGCAAATTAAAATTAAACCAAACAATTTTTTAAAAAATGCATAAGTGAATGACTGTTGAGTAGGCAGGAGACAGACTTATCAAGGGGAAGTTGCCTCCAAACCTAACTCTCCAATCATTCAATTCGTGTTCGTCATTCATGCAGGCAAGGGTAAAAGTCAAAACCAAAAGTAAAAAGAAATACCAATAAAGTGGTACCCTTAGAAATTAGCATTTAAGAATTATAAGTTCTAAAAGGAAAATACTAATGAAGTCTTTTCACATTACAAACAGTTTACATTTTTTAATTCACAATACCACTTAACTTTATTTTACTTCAAGCAACTTACATCTCTTGATTGGCTCAGCTACTTAACTCCCTAAATAACTGATAATTACTACCTTTAGGATTTTTAATTTTTAATTTTATTTTTATATTTTAATGTTTGTAAAAAATTTTTAATATAACAAAGATAGCAGCTTGACACTCAACTTTACCTACATAAGTGCCATCTACAGTGTCTCACAAAAGTGATGGGACACTTCTGCTTTACAAAAGGAAACCGTAATAAAATAAATTAAAAAAACATATAAAATTTTTTGTGGATGTGTTTCATACTAAAATTTAGTAACAATTATTACATAACATACATTTTCTCAACATATTAAAATATTAATTTAATAAAAATACAATTGTTTAGAACGAAGCAAAAAATGGCTCACATAAGTGATGGGATACCATTAGATACTACTACGTACTACGCAACAAAAATCGTCTGAAGTAAGCATTAAAAATATTTTTGGGGGTTCTTATTTTTACTCAAAAGCAATTAGCAATAATTTATAAAATCATCTGCAGTATTTCTCTCCAGTTTGTTTCGGAATTTTTATTTTTTTAGCTCTGTGCAACCATGAATGCTAAACAAAAAGAAACTTTGCCTGAAATCCGAAATTAGTTATTAATTTGCATATTGAACGTGGAAAATCTATTAGAGAAACTGCTGAAACAGTTAACTTGAGTCATTCAACAGTTTTCAATATCATTAAACGATATAAAAAGAATCATATGTTTCAGAAAGACCTGACCAAACATCAAAGCTATCCAATGGAATAAAACGAATTATCGTTCGAAATTTTAAAAAAAATCCAAGAATGAGTGCTCCTAAAATTGCTGCTGATTTACAAGCATTATATGAAGTAATTATTAATCCTGAGACTATTAGAAGAGTAATTCGATCTGCTGGATATCACGGTAGAGCAGCCAGGAAAAAATTCTTCGTGAGTGAAAAGAATAGAAAACTCAGACTGGCTTTCGCAAAATCCAACATAAATAAGAATTCTGATTACTGGAATTAAGTTATATTTGCTGATGAGAGTAAATTTAATATATTTGGTTCTGACGGTAGAATCTTGGTATGGAGAAAACCCAGGGAAGAATTTCGCAAACAGGACTTGGTGCCAACAGTAAAACATGGTGGAGGAGGAGTTATGGTATGTGGGTGTATATCGTCCGCTGGAGTTGGTAATCTTGCTTTTATTGACAGTATAATGTATCAGTACACTGCTTTGAACGTTAGACTCTGGCTGCTGTATAACTGCCCTTAAATAATGAAAACACCACCACAATCTCCAGACTTAAATCCCATACAGAATATTTGGCAAGAATTGGAATCAAGAATTCGCAAACACACCATTTTTTCAAAACAACAATTAAAATCGGTGCTTCAAGAAGAATAGGGTAAAATCACTCCAGAAATCACAAAAAAATTAGACAAAACTATCCCCAGAAGGTTAAATCATGTTTTAAAAGTAAAAGGAAATCCAATAAAATATTAAAACCTTTTAAAAAGTAAAATTTTTGGATAAATATTTGATGCAAAAGTAAGTGTCTCATCACTTATGTGAGCCATTTTTTGCTCCGTTCTAAACAATTGTATTTTTATTAAATTAATATTTTAATATTTTGGGGAAATGTATGTTATGTAATAATTGTTGCTAAATTTAAGTTGAAACACACCCACAAAAACTTTTTACATGTTTTTTAAATTTATTTTACTACAGTTTCCTTTTGTAAAGCAGAAGTGTCCCATCACTTTTGTGACACACTGTATATAATTTGTATAATTTGAAGAACACACTTACTTCTCTTTAAAAACACTTTTGCAGACCCCAACACTCATATAGTAGGTAAGTTAGAATTAAAACTTACTATTTACTTACTTTAAGTATTTTTTAAAATTTTTTATGTAGTATTTAAGTATTTTATAAATATGAAATTATATTTTTAAGTATATATTTGTTTTTTAAAAATTG